TTGTTGTTTACTCTGAACATCATGCTTTAACTTGTATATACATGTTCACTGAAAGCAAGCATACTTTTAGGGGTATCTTTCTGGATATGTCCTTCACCTTTTAATAAATTCCAGCATATCATCCCACCAGAATCTATGTTTTCTCATACGCATTTTCTCAACATTTTTCCCTCAGGGATATACCAATCTGTTTGGACACCTTCTCAGAATGTCTTCACCCTCTTCCTTCTCTAGGGTTAAAAACCCTTCTGATCCCCACTGTAAGCCTTTTCCTATTGTCAATACATTGTAGAGGTGGCATAATGCTCTGACTCATAAGTCCACTTACTCATTCAATGTATTTTCATTAATCATCTTCTATATTCCAGAAATGTGTTAGGGATACAGTGTTGAGCTAAAATAGATGAGTTGTCTGCCTCTTTATGGTTTTCACTCTATCAAAATTATTAATAAGATATCCACATAAATAAACATAGAATTACAACTATGCTAAGTTCTGTGAGGGGAAGGCACATGATGTTGGGAAAGCATAAACTAAAATAAGCATCATCAAAGTCAGAAATCTTCCAGAAAGTACTGAATAACTGAGCAGAGGACAAACAAAAGTTAGAATAAGCTTACAAAAGAGGAGAGAAAGATCACAGCAAGAGGAAACAGTATAAGCAAGGGCCTTCTGGCTGGAAGGCAAAAGAAAACATCCCACTTTCAAAGAACAGAAAGAAGGTCTGTATCTGGATTGGAGAAAGCAAAGAGCAATACAACATGAGATGAATCTAGAAAGATAGGAAGGAGGACAAACCATTCAGGGTAGAAATGTTGACATGAACTTGGGCAAACCATTCAGGGTAGAAATGTTGACATGAACTTGGGGAATAGTTTGAGGACAGAGTAGTTTTCAAATACTTGTGGTGGAGAGAAGGATAATTTAATTGATCCAAGAAAATATTAGAACACCTGGACAGTGTTGAGGCCCAAATGACATCAGTATATTGTGCATTGCCCTGTTGAGTGATGTTAGTTGGTCACCAAAAGGAGAAAATTGGGCTCATCCATTGGTGTTTTGCTGGAGAGGTGTAGGCAGAAGTAAAAGGGAAAATGGAGTTCACAATACAAAGGACTGTTATTAAACTTATGAGCCAAGGAAACTACCCTGCAAAAAGGTGGGATAAAAAGTCAGAATAAGACAAAAGGAGTGGCAAAAGTAGAAGAATACTCAATAGAAAGAAACCTGAGGAAGCAAACGAACATTCCTTGGAAAGTAGATGAACACACAAGCTAAATAGAGAACAGGTTTTGAGAGTGCACTGTTTAAGTTCGTAATTTTGGAGTGGAAATATTACATCAAGGTCCAGGGTATAATCTAGGGAGGGAATGGCTGAAGTCGAGTGGAGGAAAATGTTGAAGATGAACAGGTCAAGTAACTGGCAGGTCAGGTGTTGGGTAGGTCATCCTTTTGGACGTTAAAATTACACAGGTTTGTGGAAAAAAAAATATTGAGGTGGAGATGAAAACGTAATCCAGGTGTCAGAAGCTTTGATGGATGTGAAAGAGTGACCAGGAGGTCACAAATAATTGAGAATTAACCATACTTGCTATGGTTCTTTAAGAATGTTTTCTGTGAGGAATTGAGTCTTTTAAAGTAAATGTTAATGTCGATGGCCATTGCAACTGGATTTGATTGCAAAATGTATTAGCTTTATATAGCCCTATAATTTTGTAATTTAAGTACTTCTTAAACATATTCAAAATTTGAAGAAGAATTTATTTGGAGGCGAATAAACAAGTACAATTGAGACACAAGTCTAGGAAGTTTGTGATGCCAAGCTGCAGAGCTAGAATTTATTCTGCAGGAGCTGAAGAGTCACCAAGGCTGCCATTGTTTTGTGTAATGTTGCGGCGAGGTGATAGCTATGCTTTAGGAAGAATCATTCAGAAGTGATGTGTTGGCTAAAATGGAGAAGGGGGAAGACTAAAGGAGAAAAATTAGGGGTCTGCTGTCGTGGTTGCTAAAGGAGACCAATTGCAGCAAGTAGGAAAGGAAAGGAAAGAACAGCAAAATAGATTTTAGAGTAATAATGTCTTTAGAACTCGGTTCTAAAGGAGGTAGGGGGAGCAGTCAAATATGGCTGTGGAAGAAGTTCATTTTAGGGAAGAATGTTGCATTTCTGGTGCTGAAACTCAACAAGCAGAATTATACAAATGATTAGAAGTGTGAGAGCTAAACTCAGGGAAGAGGTGGGCTGAAAAAACTGTGGTTAATGCCCTAACCCCAATGCCCATCCTGGCCTCCATCTTCCTTTCTGCAGTCCCTAGAGATTCATCCTACCGTCTTCCTCCTTCACTTTCTCTCACTTGTTTCATTAATTTCTTGAGCTTGCAGTTTCTTTCTTAGGACACCTTCTCCTCAGATCTTCATTTTGTAGATCCTTTCCTCAAACACTCTATTATTTCCTGGCATCCCCTTGCCCCACTCCTTGCTTAGATTCCTTCATCTGTGTCTTCAAACCCATAATGCACATGCCATGCTCTATTGTGGTTGTCTATTGCTCGTCAATTTCTTTCCTCCAGACTTTGGGCTTTTAGAGGATAGGGGCTCATTAGCAGTGTCTATGTGTCAAAACTTTTCTGGTTCAATAATAATTTGTTTAAGGAATTAACCAATTTATTAATTAATTAACAGATTTTTCCCCTTCTTTTAAGGGTTTTACATTTTGAAGCATGCATTTAAGGAAAATAAATGGGATTAAACAATTAAATCAACATTTAAAACAATCATAGATTAAGTTATAAAAGCTCAAGAATTCTCGTACATTTTTCATGCCACAGTAATTCTCTCTGGTTTGTAAATAAAGATAAATGAAGCTTAGCCTGGCTTTATTTTGGCCTCTTTCATAATGCACCCTCTATCAAAGCCTGTAGAAACCCAATCAGAAAGCAACATTCATTCTTGGTAATGGGAGCAAAGACCTTCCCTCTTCTGTTTCTGTTCTGTCAGCATGCTTTCTCCGAAAGTCTTCTGAGATCTGCACCATCAGTGTGAGCTACTGGACTATGCTTTTGCCCTCTGATAATACTAGGTCTTTCAAATCTCAGATCTCTCCCTTTCAGCAATACTTCATTCTTTTTGGGGTCCCTCAGTGGTGCAAATTGTTAATGCCCTTGCCTGCTGACTGAAAGGTTGGAGGTTCTAATATACCCATAAGTGCCTCAGAAAGGACTGGCATTCTACTTCTGGAAAATCAGCCATGGAGAGGCAATGGAGCACAGTTATACTCTGGCACATGTAGGGTGGCCAGGAATCAGAAATTACTTGATGGCAACTGGCTCAATTGGTTCTTTCTTTTTGCATCTATGCAGGGAATGCCACTGGAGTCTCCCTGATTGGGAGATATCCTCATAGACGTGCTAGTAGATGATGCTGGAGCTGGCTGAAATAGAGAGGAGGAGAAAGAAGAGGGCTGAGTTTAGGATATTGGGGATGACATACGTTAATGAATGCTTGTAGAAAAATAAGCTAGGGAATAATTTGTCAAACAGGTAGGTGGAGGCATGAAAGAAGTTAGGGTTGAAAAATCTAGGAGGAGAATCAACACATCCATAGAGACAGAAATTAGATGAGTAGTTGCTACGGGCTGGGGAGAGGGAGAAATGGGAAGTGAATGTTAATGCGTATGTGGTTTTCTTTTTTTTTTTAATATTTTATTGTACTTCAGGTGAAGGCTTACAGAACAGATAGTTTCTCATGTAACAGTAACACACATGCTGTTTTATGACATTGGTTAACAACCCCACAACATTTTAACCCTCTAAATTCTCAACTTTTTTTTTTTTTTGGTGAAAATACACATAGCCAAAGATACGCCATTTCAAAAAATGCGTATGTGTTTTTTTTTTAGGATAATGAAAATGATCTGGACTTAATGGTGATGGTTGCACAACTTTGTGAAGATACTAAAAACCGCTGACTTCTATACTTTAAAATATCTTTAAAAATAAATAAAAAGAAGGAAAGAAAAATTCATGAGGTGAAAGATACTGAAACTTGAAAAGCTAGTCAAGCACATGTAATATCAGAGAGGATGAAGACAAATTGAAAGGCTATGGAATTTGGTAATTAGGAAGCCAGAAGTGAGAATTCAAGAGAATAGTTTCAACAGAATAGTCACTCCCATCTCTTCTTATTTCAGTCTCATAAATATATAATTTACAGGTTATTGTTCATATATTTTTATCTTTGTTGGCAGAATGATAATTCTGCAGGTTCTGGAATGTGCTAGGTTTGTATGAGCTAAAAGAATATTCTGAGTGTGTTTTAGTAACTCTGAGTATGTGTGCTCATGCTTGCTGGGACGTAGCATATGTCTGTCATTCTCGCTGCACTTCTAAAACCAAACCTATACTACAAAATCAGGCCAGGTCATTTTGTCTGAATCCCAAACATCATTTTTGGTGGCCAAAATTAGAACAGGCATTACCTTCTCTGAATTCTGATAACAGCATTCAGTGGTCTGACTATTTGACAAGTTATTTTCCCTGTTATGTGGCAGTTCATTGATGGAGTATTGCTGACCTTGTGACCCTGAGCCAAGTGTTTGTTTTCTCGGGACCGTATTTCCTTGATTTGTAAACTGAGGGCAGTTGCTGAGTACCTCTTATAAGAAAATTATATGGAGGTGCTTTGTAAGGTTTATAGTAGATATATACTTGTATTTTTAGTTGATACTGTTGTTGAGTTGAAGAGACAATTAAATCCTTTATTGTTTTTTACCTGTAGACTGCTGTGGGGCCAGTCCTCTCAATACCTTGTGTGAAGGATCATAGGTTTCATATCTGTTTGCATCCTATTAGGCCTGCCTTACTCAGTTCTTATTGGTTGGACTGAATACTGTGTAAATGACAAAGCTCCAGTATTATGGTATGATTGACCTCTCGATCACCTTTGTCTCTGTTTTTGTTTTTTTTTTTTTTGGCTCATTTACTTTATTCTGCTCTTCACTTAGGCTTCCCAAACGAGCCGGCTGCAGTCATTGCCCTCAGCACCATCAAGGAATGGCTGGCCAAGAATCACCACGAGGTAGGGAGAACGACACAATCAGTTCATAGTGAACATTCAAGATGGTGCACTTTGATCCTCAATTTCAAAAAGCAGATCAATTACATAAATATCAAATAGACCTAGTCACTGAGCCAAAGCTAGTTGACGACGGTGCTTCATTTCTTATCACGTGGTTGAAGAAATACTTTCTTGTAATTAGTTGACTGCTGGGGTTTTATTGATCAGTCAATTCTGACTGTGAAGATGGGGAAAGTAATCAAATTCATTTGTACTCCTCTAGGCACTGTGGGTTGTGTAGAAAGTGAAAACGGGGTGGATTTCATTAAGATTAATAATAAGGTGTTTTCCTTAAAGAGGTATCTTTTATTCCTGCTTTATGGTAATGTTTTGGTATCTATTTGGTATCTATATAGAACCTTCCTAAAGCTCTAAATAGACGAAATTTCCTAAAGTGACTTCTGAGTGTGAGATTGGAGTAGGCTTGGATTTTTGATAGCTAAGTTGTCACAACAAAGATTTTTTATGAAGCTAAATGCTTCCATCAGAGTATACATAATATATACATAATACTTCCTATTCTGCTTATTTAACATGATCTTTGGGATATGTTTAGTGATGAACTGAAGAATTACTCAAATAAACAAAGCAAGAAAATAACTAGAGACACCATGGAGCCTTAGATTTCAGAGGTTTTGCAATTTACGTGTTATAACAGCAAGTAAGTTTCATACAATGCAGTCTTGTGCATTTTCCCTCTCAGTTTGTTTCCTCAGATATTCACATAAGTGCTATAAGAACTGTGTTCCATTTTCTGATAGAGTGTGAGTTTAGCTTTCTCCTTAGGTAGGAGATGGATTATTCCAGAATGTTTGGATATTCAAGCAGGTGATGGGGTCTCTTAACAAGAGATGTTTCCTGACGCCTTTGTGTGTTTAAAGAAACATCAGTGTTGTTTTTGTTAATTACTTTAGTTTCAACATTTCTAAAATAGGTAAGAACAGTGTTAATCTCAAGTAGAAGTAAAGATCACATACTCAAACATATCCATTTTAGTGCTCACTCTTTCTTTTCCTCTTTTTTTGAAAGGTATAAAAATGAGGACTTGGATTTATGAGATATCTTGAATCACCTTTAAGTAGCAGAATTAGAGAAAAAAAAAAAAACTAAAATAGCCACTTTTCAAAAGTCTTTAACATGTATTACTTTATCTTCACAACAACCTTATATAGTGCTTGGGAGACATATTATTATTCATATTCTCATCCAGCATTACAAGGCTAAGTGACATACTCAAGACTGCAGTCACAGAGCTAAGAGTCTGACCTAGCTCTCCTGACTCTTAAGGTCACTCCATTTTGTAATGCCAATGAGACCAGGAGAGAAGCTCGGTCCCTGTGAAAGCTGGTTACCTTCAGTATGTCTCTTGGCCATAGTAAATGCTTCTCACCTGGCCCACCTACTTTGCAAAAGTGTAGAATATTCTATGAGTGAAAGCCGACTGCTAAGCAAGTTGATTGATACAAATCCATCATTTCCAGTAGAATAATAACAAAGAATATGCCCTACTAATGGGAGTTTAAATGTGTCATCTTGGCATGTGAAGGAAATACCCATAAACACATAACATCAAGGAGGTGATAATGAAGAGTAAAGATGTTGGTTACATTTACAGCTCATCAATGATTTCTACTGATTGAAGTTATTTTTCATTGAAATGCCTTTGCCTAGTGTTTCCTACCTAGTGGTTTTTGCTCCAGTTTCCTCACTTGCCTACTCTGTCTTTAAGTTAATATCTTTTTCTTGCTTATCTCTTATGTCTATTGTAGACAATTTTGATAATTTTGAGTTGAGAAACACAATTTAGTTACTGTCATTGTAAATTTAAACATATCCGGTGCTGAATTTCTTTTAAAAGACTTCTTATTCAAATATGCACTTAGTGAATTTAAACAAGCTAATTTTAACAAGTCAGGTTTTACTTAATGCGTAAATCGTAAGAGAAATACTAATTGATTATCTAGGGGTACTTTGATTCTACAGTTTGCTCTGCTTAAAAAAAATAGTTAAGGACTTTTGGAAAAAAGAGCATTGCTTCTTAGTCATGTTTCTCGTCATTGCAACATTGTTTTGATATCTTAATTGTTTCAGCTATTTATTCATTAATTCACTCACTTGATAAATATTTATTGAGTGCCACTAAGCGGCAGAGAGTTTTCTAGATACTAGGGAAAGAGTCCTGAAAAACAAAATCCTTGCCATATGATGTTCATAGTCTAGAAAGAGAGAAACATAAATTAACCAAATAAGAGATAGAGAAGTAAGAGAGTTCAAAATAAATCAGGGTAATTGGATAGTGAGTTATTGGGATGCAATTTTAGATAAGGTAGAGATTTCTCTGAGGATGTATTCTTGGAAAAGAGACTTGTATGTTGGGACACAGCAAGCCAAGCCACACAGTGATCTTGAGGGGGAACATTCCACACAGAAAAAAAACAAAAGAAAAACCTTTAGGAAAGAATGAACTTCCCGCTTTCAAGCAATGGTAAGTGAGCCGGTGTGGCTGGAGCAGAGAGAAGAACTGGAGACAAATTTGGAGAATAGGCAGAGGTCAGAACATAGGACCTTGTGGTTCATGGCAAGACTCTTAATTATATTCTAAATGTAATGGGAAGTTGTTGGGGGTTTTGGGCAAGGGAGTAACACAATCTGATTCACCTGTTATGTGACAGTCTGGCTACTCTTTGGAAAATAGTCTTCAGAGGTATCAGAATTGAAAAGGGAAGACAGATTAAAAGCCCCTGCAGTAAATTGAAGCATGAGGTGAGGGTGCTTTGGAATAGAGTGATGATGGAAAGGAAGTAAGAAGTTGTCAGGTTTGGAATATATGTTGACAGTAGAGCCAACAGGCTTGGGGGTTGCATCAATTAGGCTAGGCTAGCTTATGTTGCAGTTACAAATAACACCCAAACCTCTGTGACAGTGAAGGTTTATTTATAGCTCACACTACTTGCATATATTGAGTCAGCAGAGGACTCTGGTTTACTCAGAAACCTATGCTGATAGACAGTCCACCATCTGAAATATCATCTATCACATAACAGGAAAAGATACACTCAAGCACAAAGGAGTGATGCCTGTGTAGTTGGGAACTTCAACATCCAGAGAGATCTATCTGACTGGAGTACTGGAACCCAGTGATGAGACTAGGAAAAAATACGTTCTCTTATGTTTCACCCACTTGTTTAATTTCCCCAAAGCCTGAACTGTGAGGGTGCTGTTACCACCGCATACTTAAGGAGACGCAGTAACTTGAGGGAGAAAGCCCTGGTAAACAAACAGGACAAATGGCTCTGAAGATTGAAGGAGCTTTAGTAGAAGACATGGAGCAGCATTTTAACAGAAAAATCAAGGCAAATTCTTAGGAAAATACAACTGGGCACGAAAATGACTTTCCAGAACTAGAACGAAACAAACATTGATTTCTAAATTGAAAAATCAATCAAGTTCGGATATATGCCACAACATGGATGAACCTTGAAAACATTGCACTGAGTAAAATAAGCCAGATACAAAAGAACAAATGCCATATAATCCACTGATATGAGATATATAGAATAGGTAAACGCACAGAGACAGAAGTAGATTAGTGGGTGCTGGTGGGAGGGAGAAATGACAAGTTATTGCTTAAGGGGTACTGAATTTCCGTTTAGGGTGATGAAAAGCTTTAGTGATAATGGTTATGCAATGCTATGAACGTAATTAATGTCACTAAATTGTACCCTTTAAAAAGATTAAAATGGTGAATTTTATGATATGTTTACCACAATAAAACTAAAAAGAAAATTCACTACTCAGAGCCAAATTATTGCTATGAGAAGACCAGATAGATGAATTATCCCACATTACAGAACAAAAAGACAAAGAAATGGAAATCATGAATGAAGACATAAGGGACATGGAGGGCAGACACAGGGATCAAACATGGAAATTATCACTGGCATTCTACCTAAGTTAGGTAGTAAAATTACAGAGTTCAGAAAATCCAAAGAAAAGCACGACAGAGTTTCTTATAAAAAGTGACAGCATGTAGCATGGTAACCTTTCCATAAGTGCCCCATTTTTCTTAAGTAGTGACTTTATTACAGAGACAAGTGAGCAAAATAAGAAGCTGTTGTGGAAATAAGCTGTGGAAATGCAGCCGCCCAGGACCTAGCTTGGGGGTTCTGCTCCGCATTGCATTAACATCTTCGGTTTCATGCATTCCTCATTTTGCACGCAGTCTAAAAATACCATTCCTTGTGAAATACTAATTTCCCCACTTGGCAGTTCTGAGACAACCCTTTCATATGAGGAAGTTAGACGAAGAAATGTTTTCACAGTGCCTTTTCTATTTTTCTATGCGGGAGATTAACATAGCATTTGGCTATTGGTCTCTGGGGCAATGCACATACTTTTAATTTTTTTTTTCTATAGAAATCAGAAGTAGTGACGGATGCCTGTCACCTCTAAAAGCTACAAATAGCCTGATATTATGAGATATTTCCCAGTTTGTGGAAGTCATGTTTAATATTTTCAGATACCCCAAAGGAAGAGGTAAGTATCCTGCAGCACACAGCAATGTTAAGTCTTCCTGGAAGTCATCTTAGTCAGCCGGTAAGACATTTAGGATGAAGATACTGAGCTGGAAGATCAGTGGATTTCCAGGAATCTTTTCAACTTAGAAACCTTGAAGTACTAATCCTGGGCTTAGTTGTAGCATGAAGCAAACCTGGCCACTTAGTAGTGGGGAGGACCCCCACCAAATTACAAAGCAGCATTGATGGTCAGAAGCATAGCATTCTGGGAAATTCTAAAGCTGTGGCCAGGTGCAGCCATCCAGAGTGGTTGGGCCTTAGCTGCATCTCTGCAAACTGTTGATAATTGTGTTTCCCAGAATTCTTTCCCCCAAGGCCAACCCCATTCAATGGTGGATACTCAACGAGGGGACCTTTGGTTCATCTTTGAGGGACTTTAGCAGG